ACCCAATAGAAACATATCCAAAAGCTAACACAGGAAAATAGGATATACAATACAGCACCCTATGAAATACCGTTATCCAATCCTCAAATACAGGACAACAAATACATAGAGGTGTTTAAAAAATTCGTACTACAATACGTGGACAACTTGAGAGTCAAGAAATTTCATAACTCATTTGAGGTTGAAAGAGGCATAAAAAGTTTATCAAATAGAAAAGACATAGTGGTGCGACAGAAGATAGAAAGATGGTAGGGGTGGGAATTGTTGTCCTCTCTAAAGAAAAGTACCATGAAGAATTAGTTAAACAGCTAGAAGATATAAATACATAACACAAATTGCTAACGAATCCCACAATACAATATAGGAAAGATCTGGAAAATGTGGTCCATTTGGGACTGAAAAAAACCAACTAGATAAAAAGGAAGCTAAGTATCTAGTTCCTGAAGTTTGTAGAATTCCCATCATGTATACAGTGTCAAAAATATAAATGAATAAGGATAACCCACAGGGGAGACCTAGTGAATGGGATAAATTTAGTCACAGCCGGTAATGGGTGAATATATTGATGGTTTCCTGCAGTCAGTTGTACAAGAGACCAAAGCATATTTATGCGACACGAATAATGCTACATTTACTGGAAAACGTACAAATTGAAGATAAATCAGAGGTATCGGCCATGGCAGACGTGTCATCATTATACACTATCATTAATCATCATCAAGCAGGTGAAGCCACCAAATGGGCACTGAGGGAATGGAGCAATGTGAAAAGTAAACAAATGTTTGTAGTTCTGCATTAAAAGCAATTATTTTTTATATGATCAACATTTTATAAACAAAACATAGAGATAGCTATGGGCACAAAATTTGTCCCGAGTGTTGCAAACATATTTATGTCCCAGTGGGAAGAAGAAACCATCTATTCAAATACTCCCCAGGAACTGTTGTTCTACAAAAGATTCAGGCTCCATTCACACTAGGACGTTTCAAATCATGGGCGGAATCGCCATGATTCTGGCTGCAAATTGAAAACGTGCTGGGAAAATTTAAAAATGTCACCTGAAAATGCGGGGTGCGTTTTTGCCGTCCATTTGGGGATTTTTTCACGACAAACGTGCTGCGATCATGAAAACCAAATAGCAGAACCTGTGATGCCCAAAAAAAGAACCTTTTTTGAGAGTTATGCATCCCGTGATTTTGTCTGCGCGATCGCAGCACATTTGGAGCATGGAAAACCATGCCACAATTGCGGCAAAAATGTCCTGCATTTTCAAATGCCATTGAAATGAACGGCACCAGAACATGCAATTGCTCATTTACAATCCGCCCACGATTTGAAATGCCCTAAGGAGCCTTATTGATTATGTGATCATTATTTGAAATGGGACAGAAGACAGTCTTCAGAACTTTCTCCAGACCCTTAACAAAAGTTAGAAAGGGATTAAATCTATTATGGGAGATGAACAAAGAAAAACATCAGTTTTGTGGATCTGGAAATAATGGTTGAAGAAAACAAGATGACCACAAAAACGCATTTCAAAATGGTTGGCTGAAATAGCTATTTACCCCTAGACCGCTGTCACCGCAATTCTTGGTTCTATAATATCCCTAAAGGCCAAATATGACCCTGAGGGAATACAATTGTAAAAAGGATTATATGGATCAAGCCAAATAGATAGGAGAGAGATTCATTGATAAAGGGTACAAAAGTGGTTATATAGAACAACAAAGGTATTAGAAGTGGGAAGTATGGATATGGCTGAACTAATCCAGATGAAGCCAAGGAAAGAACAACAACAGAATCCGCATCATAGCCGCATGAATATTTAAAAGGGACCATACCCCAGATACCCCGAAGGCTTTGAGTATCATACCAAGTGAGCCCCCAGTGGATGGAGGTGAAAGTGTCCCCAGGAACTTTTCCCCCTTTCAATAGCTGGATATTGGAGGATCTGATTGATATTACAGTCATGGCCGAAATTGTTGGCACCCTTGAAATATTTTTCCTGGAATCAAGTTTTCACACAAAAATAGGTATTGCCATTAACACATGTTTTGCTTTCATACACATGTTTATTCCCTTTGTATGCCAATATAAAACAGAGGCAGAAAACCAGCATTATGACAAATGTCACCAGTGGGTGGAAAAAGTAACCCTTAACTTATATTTGGTTGCACATGGAAAACATAAATGAAATCAGTCGCTTCCTATAACCATCAATAACTTTGAAAACTCTCACCCGGAATTTTGGACCACTCTTTCCTTTGCAAACAGCTCCAGCTGGACTTATTGGAAGGACACATGAAAACAGCAATTTTAAGATCTCTCCAAGTGTGCAAAAATTTAGATCTGGGCTCATTGCTGGCCACTTCAGAACTCTCCAGCCTTCTTTGATCCATTTCTGAGTGCTTTTTTGACGTATGTTTGGGGTCATTGTCCTGCTGGAAGACCCAGGATCTTGGACGCAAAACCAGCTTTCTGACACTGGGCCCTACAGTGCGACCCAAAATCCTTGGTAAAAATCCTCAGCATTTTCATGATGCCATTGAACCAGTCAAGGCACCCAGTGCAAGGCAGCAAAACAATCCCCCACGATTTGAAACGCCCTAGTGTGAAAGGAGCCTTACTGATTATGTGATCATTATTTGAAATGGACAGAATGACAGTCTTCAGAACTTATCTCCAGACCCTTAACAAAAGTTAAAAGGGATTCATCAAGTACATTTTGGCAAATGTACAAAGAAAAAAACAGCAGTGGGGTCCTCCTGGGTCTCCTGCCATAAAAACGTTTCATTTCATTTAAATGATAGTTTACGCGCTGACACTGATGCTCCCTGAGCCTGCAGGACAGCTTGAATGTCTTTGGAAAATGTTTGGGGCTGCTTATCCACCATCCGGACTATTCTGCGTTGCAATCTTTCATCAATTTTCCTCATCCGTTGGCGACCAGCTATTAGCTACAGTGACCATGGGTTGCAAACTTCTTGGTTCTAAATATCCTGTGGACAAAGGCCAAATAATGACCTCTGAGATGCAATTGTACAAACCTTGAGATTGTTGATCAAGCCAAAATGATAGGAGAGAGATTCATTGATAAAGGGTACAAAACACAATGGTTATATAGAACCAAAGATTATTAGAAGTGGGAAGTATGGACACGGTGAACTAATCCAGATGAGCCAGGAGGATCACATGCTTGTAACAACAATCCGCAGTTGTGAAAGGGTGCTATGCATCATAGCCCATGAATTTGGAAAGGTTTACCCCAGATGACCAAAGTCTTTTTTTAGAATTTGCTTTCTTTGAGTATCCTTTTTTTGTTTTGTCCCAATACACACAAAGGGATGTGTATAGCAAAACATGTGAAAGTGTCGCTTTTCCCCATTAGTGGGAGATTGGATGATCTGATTGATGGATGCGCTCTTTTTTTTCTCACAGTGGAGGTGAGAGTTCTGTGAGCCTAGAGGGTAGCACGTGGTGTGTGTAATGCACGAGAATATATTATTTATTCACAATGGAGTGGGTCACATTAATCACAGATGATTTCAAGCACCATTTCTAGAAGGAACAACTTAGAAGGATTGTGAATTTATGGACTTTTTGTGCTGCATATAACCCATGATGATTTAATTTTGCACACTAACTTTATAATGATTTATTCGTTTTTTATTTATAATTTGCATGTATCCTGTGTTACGTGTCTTTTCTATCAATATTGATACAGCAGCGCTACACTTGATTTATTATTCATTGGTCACACTTGTATTCTGCTCAGAGTGATTGGTAGAACTGAGCGAACAGAAGTTCCTGATCGCTGAGTGCTTACCCTTAGAACCAGAGGGGGACAGATGCAGCATCGGATCGATGCGGCATCCACCTAGGTAAGTATAATTCTTGAAAAAAAAAAAACAATACTTCTCTTTTAAGTATAATGTAAAGTTAGTGCATTAGCAATAAGGCAATTGTTAGCTCTGGGATTAATTAGGGACAGCAATTTTTGTCACAAGAACAAGTCTAAGATAGTGTAAAGCAACTTCTGAAAACTTCAGTAGACATGCAAAGCCCATAACACCACCCATTAAAAACCATCAATCTTCTCCTTTGACTCAAATGCAATTTTTTAAATTCCTGTGAAATGTCTTGATTTTTATTGAGATATTGACAAACTGAATACTTATAATTTTGCTCATCTTTATCTGCCCCTGACACTGTACTGAACCAATCTGCATTCTGAAACTCTCAAGATAGCAGGTTGCAGAGTGTACCAGCTGGGATACTGATCTCTCCAAGTACATTTTAAAGCAAAAGTTGCTGAAGTTTGCAATGGCGCTGCATTAAAAGAAACACAAAAGTGCTTGGTGATAAACTGATACTCCTTGTTTTTTAGCAACAGATTTACACATGTATAAAGCAAATCAGCTGTTATTGGCATGTTTTCAATTTTATTTTATCCTTTACAATTTTCAAGTGGGTAATACTTATAGCCATAACACAAGGTAAGCCCCCATTCACAGCTGAGCTGAGTTTCAGCTTGTTTTCCCTATGCTTGACTTTGCTCAACATGCAGAATCCCATTCTTACTAATTCTTCCTGTTCACACTTGTATTCTCATTCACCTATATTCTGTGCCTAACACTCAAAAAAAGTACAGCCGCTTTTTTTTATTAGATGTGTTTGCCCCCTAGAGACTTCAGTGGGTGCTTCTGTAAACAGGTGACGCACGCATTACACATTTTGCACCTGAAAATCTTCTCTCCTTCTTTAGAACTGCTTTCCTCCCCTTGCCCAGCAAAGGAAACAGACACTTCAAAAATCACTTGGAATACCCTCTGATTATGCTCTGTTCAAGTGTAAATGCATTCTAAGAACTTTTATTATTTTTGAACTAATACACCTATGGTGGGATTACACAAAAAAAACCACTAACCTCTACATTCGTATTTGAGATCAGAGAAGAATACCATCTCTTGGGAGAATACAAAGAGCCCCAGTCGTCCCCCTGCGTATGTTTTGTCATATAGTGGCCCAGAGTCTGCCATGATTTGTTTTCCTTCATACACAACAACTCTGCAAGAAAGTAAAGAAACTTGAAAAGACAGAACATCTACACAAAAAGCAATATACTCAAATGGTCAATGTAACTCGTATCAACTAATCAGATTCAGCAATTGCATAATACGTTTATAAAATATTTCTGATTAACTGCTATTGGTTACTCAATTATGGTCCATACTGTGTGAGTGTTTTACAGTTATTTACACTAAAAGTGTCTCCAAGAATCAGATGATTCTTGTGTGTTCCATTAGATAGGGAGCAACCCATGACATTTTCTTGCAAACGTAATAATTGCAGGTGCACACGTGGAAAAATCAAATATCTTAAATGAGTATAGTATTCTCCTTTATACAAATTATTTATTCACTTGCAATGCATCTTTTATCTTGCTAGAAAATTTGACTACTTCAGAAGACTCAATTCCTGAACATAACCCCCTCCCACCTTGCATGGTATAGCTCTTTTCTCTTCTGGGAATGTCTAATTACTGTCTGTGCTGGCATAACATCTCCACTCCTCACTTCACTTTCCTAGATAACCTTTTATGCAGCTACTGGTTGAGGAACAAAGGGGAAAAGTATAGAGTGTCACTTGAGTGACTGCTTTGAATTTGCTGGGGCTGCTGCCATCCAATCCAAGATGAAGCCACCTAGAAGCCTTGGGGCTTTTAGATGTCTGCAGGGGAGGGAGGCTTTTACAGGTAAAACCATAAATTATATGAAAGTACATATAATCCCAAGGGAAGATTTTTTTTTTTTAATGAATGGTCTAGTGGCAGGTTTTTTTTCATTTATCACTAGAAGTTTGGGTAACCACTCTCATTCTGTCTTGCAGCTTTGCCACCACTATTCTCACCCTTTTAAACAGTTTGTTCTGTATGCATATAATTTGTATTATCTTTGCTGTCTACAGTGATTGAATCTGACATATTTTAGTTGCTAAACGGAAATGTAGACTTAAAGTGGTTGTAAAGGTAAAAGATGTTTTTACCTTAAAGCTTTCTCGGCATAAAGGTAAAAAACCTTTCCATCTTAGCTTCCCTAACCCCCCTTAAATACTTACCTGAGCCCGATCTCAATCCAGTGTACCCATCTGTAGCAGCACTGCTCTTCTCTCCCCTCATCTCATAGAAGTCTAGGCAGCAGCAGAAGCCATTGGCTCCTGCATCTGTCAATCAAATCCTGTGAGCAGAGAGTGGGGGGCACACAGTGCAGCTCAGGATTGAGCTCACCCGAGTGCTCCCATAGCAAGCAGCTTGCTATGGGTGCTCTCAGAAGGGAGAAGGATCCAAGAGTGCTGGCAGGAGACCCCAGAAAAGAAGGATTGGGGCTTCTCTCAGCAAAATCATTGCACTGAGCACGTAAGTGTGACATGATTAATAGTTTTAAAAAAAATGTATAATCACTCTAATATCACACACAATCAACAACTTACCTAATGTAGCCAGTCTTTGGTCTATGAGTCAGATGCCACCTGTAAGCAGTGTAATCTTTCCACCCAATGTTCTTGGGGTCATGCCACAATGTTCGAACCTAGAAAAGTGAGTTTTAAAGTCTCAGTGATTCAATATGAAGTATTAAAGTATATTACAATTTCAAGAACTTCAAAGCAACAGATGGAGGGAAATGTATGTGGGAGGTTATATATCTGGCTTATGTCAGTGTGTGTTTGTTTCTGAAGGTCCTACAGGAATATGTTTAATATCTGTGGCAGAGCTTGGGCAACAAGTTTCAGGAGAAATGGAGCAGGAGGAAGTTGCAGCATGGAAGTAAGACTGCTTCAGATCTTATTTTTCACTGCAGTTCTCATAATGGAAAGTCAAAATTGAATACACATGGCCAAAGTACCTCTCCAGGTGTATTTCCAGTGTGCCACAAAGCATTCCTCAAATGTTCTCCAGTCCCTGTCGTTGAGTTGACAACTTTTAGAGAGACACCAGAGTAACCATAGGCCCTAGATGGCTTATCTTCCCAATATGTTTGAGTGACTTGCTTCCACATTAGCACATAGAATCTACTGCTGGATTGATAACCAAATACAAAGCCAGCATAATCATCATCACGGTCTGTGTTTACATAGAATGTTCCACTAAAGTCGACTGCGCTGAACTCATCAAAGCCTAAAGGAAACATTAGACAATATTTAGTTAAAAGGTTAAAACATATTAACTATCAATGCACAAATCAAAGAAAGACGCTTAGTAGCCTGACATACTGTATGACATAGAGTTTTAAGTGCTCTAAGTATTTGTACAAAAACCACGGTATTAATAATCTCTTGCAAACTATGGCACGCCTTTATTCTTATTTTACAATCTTTTTCCTTCTATAAGAAAAAAGCATCATCACAATTAGAAATATATGATCTCATGTGCTAGTCATGATTTAATGTGCACTCACACTGTGTAACCAAAGATCTGATTGATGGGGTTTAGAGATAACATTAGAGAAGCTTCCTGGGAGTAGAATATTTCACTCTACATGTGAAGCTATTGAATAACTCAGACAAAATTACTATTTGTCTGTGGTTTATTTTAGCCTGTCTTCTTTTTTTTTTTTTAAAGACTGTAAGTCAACAGGAGAATTGACACAAGATATAATGTAGGCATGTTCTGTACACATGAACATATGAACATTAGTAAACAACTACATGCTTCTGTTGTCAATACTGCACTACTCCAATCACCAGTGCTTGGGTGCATCAGGATGAACAAAAAAATACCAAAAAAAAATTTTCATATTCTTTTGTTACTTTTAAACAATAAAAAACTTAATGTATAAGTGTGTTGCAGATGATTCTGAAAATAAGGTTGTGAGCTTGCTTACCCACAGCTATGCCAGGATCTGAATTGGCAGTCTGAACCAGCTCTTTTCCTTGATGTCGAATCACCCAGTTGGGATCAATTTGTGCTGTTCCCTTTGGATCTAATGGAACCATCTGGAATTTCCTAAAGTCGGTCTCACTTATGCCACTGTTTTCCGGACAGACATCATAGATATCAGGAATGCTGTCATTATCAAAATCGTCTTTGCACGCATCACCTCTGCCATCACCTGTAACAAATTAGTATAGGATAAGTTTAAATATACAAAATAACTTTTGCAATAATATATAGATGTGTGAAAAGTTTAAACAAAAATGTATATACTGTTTTGTATGTGTTAAGCAACAGACAACATGGATTCATGAAAGACAGAAGCTGTCAAACAAATCTGATTTCTTTTTATGAGAAGGTGAGCAAAACCTTGAACAGAGGGGTGGCTGTGGATGTGGTATACTTGGATTTTGCAAAAGTGTTTGACAGAGTTCCCCACACATGGCTAATGTGTAAGGTAAATTCTACGAGCTTGGAAAAACCTGTATGTAAATGTACAGAAAACTGGCTAAAGGATTGTATTCAGAGAGTAGTGGTTAATGATTCATACTCTGAATGGTCTAGGGTTGTCAGTGGTGTACCCCAATGTTCAGTGTTATCACCCTTACTTTTTAATATATTTCTAAACAGTATAGGGTCTAAGATTAAAAATACTGTTTCAGTCTTTGCAGATGACACCAAGCTTTTTTTTATGATTGAACTGGATGGACTTTCTTTTGTCTTTTTTTCAGCCAGACTAACTATGTAACTATGTTTTTATGTTTTAATTAATTAAATTAAAATTAAATTAACTATATTAATTAAAGAAATGTATATTAGCTATTAGGTATGCTGATCACCAAAAATGTGAAAACGTTTATAAATTACAAACAATAACACAATTATGATATGTATTTCAAAATATCTAGTTTATTATTGGTGAAGGGAAAAGTGTTTTATATTTTACAGAAAAAAAGCTTGTTAAAGCAAACTGAAGTTATGCTATATGGTTGGTTTTGCTACTAAAAGTGGACTTCTTCTTTAACTTTTTTTATGCTGCCATCATCCACTGCCAAGAAGAGTTTAAAATATTGCATGCAAGAGCATTATGTTCCTTTCGGGTCATTTGACTTCATTTGAGTGTCTGTGATTGCAAATATCACAAGAAAATACTATTAACCTTTGAGTTTTGCAGTGAGTAATCTTGGCAGTGATGTGGGATAAAGTCTGATCTTCCTGGCTTATTATATTCTGGCATGCTGCAAGGTATGTAATTTAGCAGTGACTAGTTTAGGTCTTTTATCCCTGACATGGATGCCTGCAGCAACATTCCACGATGGATATTTAATTTAATATAAAGCACATAGTATTGTGGCTTCTCTATTAAGATCAAGATACAGTAAATCATGAAACAAGCTCAAGGCCATATGTGATTGCAGGTGAAAAATGAGTAACATTTTCAGTAAAGTCTTACTATATACTAACAAACACGAAACCAAGAAACTGAAGCAGTAATGAAAGTCTTCCAAGCAATTATACTAGAACGTGTTATTAAGCAAGAACCTATTTAGTAGATTTGGTTCATAAAGTACCAACAGATGTTTACTCTTAGCAGTCACAATAAAGTCACCATAGGAGGTTCATTGACACTATGAATGTGTGTTCATGCAGCTCATTATCATGCATTATGCTGCTTTGCATTAAGGTACCCAATTCACTTTCAGTGCACCACAATGTACAACATGTGCGTTTTGGTGCACTTCCATTGCCTACTACTGTAGTAGTTCATAGGACTGCCATTCACAGTGGACACCACTGAAATCCAATGCAGTTCATGCATTTTTATGCATTGCGTTAATGTGTGCTGCAGTATCACTTGATTTGCAGCACATTGCCATAACTTATCAACATACATAGGCCCTTTAGAAATACTGAAAAATATGAAGATGCTAGTATAAGTGATCTTGTGAACAGTATTTAATTGCCAAATTAATGTTTGTGCTAGCTCTTGAAAAAAATACTATGTCCGGTGAATATTGCTTAAACTTTGTTACTTAACACAGTCACTGTAGACAGTGATTTTCTATAGTTGAATAATAAAAACCCTGATGTGTAATTTGTCCATACACAAGCAGAACTGTCAATGAATAGGAAAATGTCCATTATTTAATTATAGTAAACAATTATGAAGTGCCTCTATCAGGGCGGACTGACCATTTGGAAACTCGGGCACTGCCCGAGGGCCCGGGGTCAGTAGGGGGCCCCATGAGATGCCCCTGGTACCTTTTTCATAGGCTTTTTGGAGTTTGGGCAAGGACACAGGGGCCCCATGATCTCCTATTGCCCGGGGGCCCCATGAGTTGTCAGTCTGCCCCTGGCCTCTGTGAGTGAGCAATTTATTTATTTCAACATAAGACACATGTTTTTACTGCAAAAAGTGCTTAAATTCTGCTTCCTGAAGTATTTAATTTTATTAAACAACGCTTTTGGGGGTATTTATAAAAAACTGAAGAAGTGGAAATGGTAAAACAACTTGAATTGTTGCCATAACTGACCAATTAAATGCCATTTTGCATTCTCCAGGATATGAAACAAGATATCTGGCAGGTCTCTCTGTGACATATAGTAATTCGGCATTTGTACCCCTTTCTCATTCTCAAGTTTTTTTTTAAGTGAAGCCTCTTGTATTGTCAAAAAAAAACCTCAATTTGAATCTAAAAATAATAGGATTTCAGATTTTTAAAAGCCTTAAATACCTTTTGTCTTAAAGATGAATATTTCCAAAAAAAACAAGGTGCAGAATGATATATTTGTAATAGTAAATAATAAAAATTGCAGCTCTAATAAAAAAAATATAAGTCCAGTAAATCAGAAAAAGTTTCAGTACAAAAAGTCCCAAATGTATTCCCACGATTCACCGTCACCAGGACACCTGAATGGTTAGCCTCTTACCAGAAATTCTGACCAAAACACATCGGTCAATATAAGCAACTCAAATGGGAGATGAATATGTGTAGATCATGGAAGCAGCAATCCTCATCCAGATAAATATCAATCGTCCTTTCAAAGATCTAAAAATGGTCCAATCATTAGATGCGGTGACTGCATCAGTTTTAGTTTTCGTTTCTTTGTTTTTTTCCCTCTCTTTTCACCTTGTGATCTGGCCAGTAACACACCTCTTGTATTAGTGAGACACAAGTCTGGATGAATGAGCACAGGAGGCACAGGAGACAGCAGCAATGTCAATCTTTCAGCTCTCCAGACAGGACTTGTCTGATCCCCAGGCTGAAAGCTCTCAGACTTGTGGCTGTCATTGGGACTTTTTTTACTGGAACTTTTTTTGATTTACTGGAATTTATGTTTTTTTGATTAGCACTGCAATTTTTTATTTATTTACTCTTATGTCTGTTGCCTGATGTGCATGCTGCTTTTCTATGCCATTTTGTATTGTCACATGATTATTCTACCCAAGCGCAGGTTATTTATATTTAATGATATATTTATGCTTAGTATTATTCCTGTACATTCAGAAATAGGTTTGATATTCATAACACTGTGGTAGTAGACTAGACTACAAAAGATTTTACATTTAATTTTGTTTTTTAAATTATAAATTGGGATTCACCTACATAAGTGAAGAAATAAACCTAAACAGGATAGTATCTAAACAACCCGTTATGTTAAAAAAATTGTAGCTGTAACAAATAATCTGACATTATAAAAAGGGAGGGAGAATGGTTAATGTGGATTGTGCAGGTGGTTTATGGTTTTAGGGAATATTGTGAAACTAACACAGATGAAGGCAAGTCCAGTCATAGAAATGTACAAAATAGCTTGAAAAGATATGGCTGTATGCCAAATAACCCATAAACACAAGTCATAATGCATAGAACATAAAATGTGATACTCTCTGCCTGAGACGACTTATGACTGTTGTCTAGCCTGGAATTAAAATCAAATTATGAAAAACAGAGAGATGAAGAATTTATAAAGAAATGATTGTGTTTGCTATGAAGGATGTGTCTTTTATGACAAAGTCTTTAGTAATCTAGCCTATTTCATGTGTCTTATTTTTGAATGTAGAGCTACAGTAATTTAAAAAAATAAATAAAATATATCTATTAGAATGGACAAATATCATTGGGTTACAAAGTAGGTTACCTGTTATGTTTTATTTTTCAGTTTTATTGTTTATAAAGCAAATCACCAAAAAACATTGCAATCACAATACATAGATGAATCCGACAATATTCTCATAGAAAATTTGGGTTCTTAGCTTGAGCCCTATTCAGTCCATATGAGTTGCTTGGTCCAGAAGACAACTCCCTTTCTGACTGCACATCTTCACTTTGTTTGTTAACATTTGTATCCTTCTAAAGCTAGTGGGTTTGATTTACTAAAGGAAAATACACTGTTCACTTTGCAAGGAAATTTGCCCCAGAACTTAGTTAATGCATTGAAATTTCATTATACAAAGAATACCCAATCATGTGCAAGGAAAAAAACTGCATTTTTGCTTGCACAAAATTGTAATGTAAGTCTGCAGAACTTCACTCATTTACTAAACTCTGGTGAAAATTCTCTTGCGAATTGTGACTTCCAATGCAACAGTCTATATGACTTTATTGATTCAACCTATTGCTTCTTCTATATGTTACACAATTGTGTATCAAGAACTGTTTTTAAAAACCCGTTTTAATGCTTTTGGCTTCATTTGTTCAAATTGAAGTGCATTTTAAAAACATATTCTCAACAGCAAACTAAAATATATTTGAAACCTAAAAAATTCTCTTTAAATTCATTGCTCATGAAGGTTTTAGAAAATCACAGAGGAGACTCATGGAATCTTACATGTCCTTAAAGATTGAGCTATAAGTAAATATGGCAGATTTTCTATTGTCACTGCTTACTTAACTGTGATAAGCTGTCATAATTGTTCCTTACAATGTATTTACTGACCAAATATATGTGGTCAAAAGCTTTAACTTTACCATTGGAATCTTTCTGGTCTGGGTTAAACACAAGCCGACAGTTGTCTCTATCATCAGGGACACCATCATTGTCATCATCTGAATCACAAACATCTCCTCTGCCGTCTTTGTCATGATCGGCTTGGTTTGCATTAGGTATGTAGGGGCAATTGTCCAAATTGTTTTGATAGCCATCTTCATCAATATCTTCATTGTTATCACACTGATCTCCCACAAGATCATTATCCACATCGGTCTGAAAGTAAACAGTCATAGCTATTAAACTGGACAGAGAGTTGTCATCTGAGTACACAGGAAAGGTATGTGTAAATGCCATACATCGGGAAAGTAATAAATGAGAGGTTTTTATTGTACAAAGGAATGGATAGGATAGATAGATAGATAGATAGATAGATAGATAGATAGATAGATAGATAGATAGATAGATAGATAGATAGATAGATAGATAGAATTTAGAATATGAGTTTGTTAAATTTGTGGTCTTTCAAATAAATGTCACTTACAATGTGAGCTACAGTGCACTCTTACAAAAGAATGTTCTTGGAATGTCATGTCATATTTTTAATGAGGCGAGAAGCACATATGACCGTCAAAATTGTCTGTACATGATTGTGAGATCAGATAAATGCTTCAAAACCTTTAAATTGTATTAATGAAATCTAAGACTGTGCCTTCAGAAGGTTTGTTGCCTATAAACTATTCAAATGTTGCAATCAGAAATTTGTCACCATTAATTTGATGGTTTGGTATGAAGTATTATTCTTTTCTTGCTATTGTATTAATTTGGAGGCTTGTTTGCATAAATGTTGCACTGGGGTGGTATTTACTAGATTCTTGTAGTTGTTTTCTGCATAGAGCCTCTATTTGATGACACTTTAATGGAGCTGCAAACAGAGATTCTTAAAATAGCCTTATGCCAAGCATGTATGGACTTTACCCCTGTCTATCGACAGGAACCAACCCTTGAAGGTGATAGTAACACTGAAGGCCAGTAGAACAGTCTCATGATCATGTGATGATTGTAATTGGCTGTTGCAGTGACCACGTGATCATGAGCCTGTCCTACAGGCTACCCAATATTGCTAGGTGACTGGGAACTGTTTAGTGAAAGTGTGGTCATGGTGGGGGGGGTGCACTGATTGAACAAGTTCCCATCATAACACAGTGACAAATGTATTTGTACAGGTAGCAGTAGAGGAGTAATGATAAAAAGTCTTTAATCTAGCGTGCATGGGGTTGGCCACTTACATGCATCTTTTGAACATTTTTTAGGGATCGGGATAGGAAATCCAACGTTTGAATATTGAAGTGGATATTACAAAGTGGGTGTTCTTGCTTATGTTGCTGTTTTTATCATTACTTGGTTTGTATTTATTTCTCTACACAATTGTTTCTGAAGGCCTAATAAAGTTAATCCTAATTTTTTTTTTACATCTGTTATTACTTAAATGTAATCCAATGCCTCTGAAGACCTGATGGTCGTGACACTATATTTGTTATCTGTGTCCTATAACCACTGTTTAACCATATTTTCTTCTTTGTTGCTCTATATTGTATCTTGCTTATTATATATGGGCGGTACGACTATGGATGAGCTTGTTCAAATGCAATTTATATTTGCAATGCAAACCTGCATTGTCTGCAAATACTTAATAAAAAGAGATTTAACATAATGTCATCCTAAACATATCCCAAACTTATTTAGATTCCAAGCCCCATTCTCTGATAGCTTGCTTAGTTTGACTTTCTGAAATTTACACCTGTGTGCACTAACTACTAATAAAGTTTTAACGGTTCAAGTTTTAAAGAGTAGGGAACTCTTGGAAAAAAATTGCCCAATGCAGTTGTTCCGTTCAAAATAAAATACAGTATATATACTGTACAAACCTTATCTTCAGAGGAACTGAACTTAGTGAATAATTGAACAAATGCATGATGAAAGTGCATCATAACTTTGATTTTCTATACAAGTAGATGATCCACAACTCTGTATACTGCTCATTAAAATCTTTCTTTATTAATTATTCCACAGGAAACACATCCCAAATACAGAGATGTTCAGGTGTTTCAGCCTTAATCAGCCTTAGTCATCATAGCTATTTTGACAAAGGCCGATTAAGGCTGAAACGCTTCAACATCTCTGTATTAAGGCTGTTTCCTGTGGAATAATTAATAAAGAAAGATTTGAATGAGCAGTATACAGAGTTGTGGATCATCTACTTGTATTGCAAAATCAAAGTTATGATGCACTTTCATCATGCATTTGTTCAATTATTCACTAAGTGGCAATTATAGAGCACCTGTTATTAGAGCAAAAGGCAGCAGTTGTAGAAACCATTCAATGTTATAAAACCTTTATAGATATACTGCACACAAATGCAAAGATCCATATAACTATTTCTATTGGATATTTAAATGACCCTTGGTTCACGTGACATTGCTAGTGCCAGTGCTTTTACAATATTACTTTTTGTCATGCAATCTTTTAAACTGCAAATTCCATGGATACACTACATCTTAAGGCGAAAATCCCAAAGCACAATAGTTAGTTGTGTTTTTGCTAAAACTGAGTTTGTATGAAGTCTTTCAGAAAAGAAACATGAAGCTCTGAATTTCACATTGAACTGTCTTGCCCAAACAAAAGCCTCTAGCTATGAATGACTGCCATTGACGCTCACTCTGTTCAGCTATTCTGCCTGAGGGTGCAGTTCTATGTAATTCTGCATTCTCCAGCTAATGTCTGGATTAAATGAAAATTACCATACCTTGCTTCTGAAGTTCAGTATATTTGTGCCCTTTGTTAATTAGCCTGAAATCCACTTTGCAACACCACTGAAGTCTACTCAAGCACATCGAAATGAGAAATAATTGGTTTCTGCACTGCATACCTGGTCAGGATTGTGCATTAAAGGACAGTTGTCACACTGATCACCCACTCCATCCTTATCAGTGTCAGTCTGGTCTGTGTTGTACACATATGGGCAGTTATCCAATTCATTTAAAATATCTAAAAGTAAACACATTGAGATTATTATTACATAGCTAAATAACATCTTTTTTCATTCTGTATTTCTTTACCATATATAAGCAGGTTCTATTATAGTCTGTATACCCAGCTGTATAACCACTGCATAGGTAAAATTCTAATGGTGGATTTAAGGCAACTCTACTTAAGGCAGATTCAGTCATGGACTGGCCTCAACTGTTCAGAAAAATAGAGTCAAATACGTCTTGAGAATAATGGGATACTCTCAGGGACATTTTGCCATTCTAGCAACACATTTAATAGAGGTAAAAAAAAAAATCCAGGTATGGAAGATTTTACATAGTAACATTGGTACAGCTTGGACCAATGTAAGTATGCATATACCATACCTGTGGGATCCCTCTAGAAGCCATTGTAATAAACACTACTACTTGAGTGATCTCCATTAGTTTTCTCAATGAAGGAAAAGCTTTCTCTGGTTAGACAAGGTGGAATGGTGAGGTGGTGACATCATACTTTGTATTTTTATTTACTGTAAAAATATTCATTTCTGGAATTCTTCTTTATTTTTTCCCTAAACCACAAAATAAAAATATTATATATTGCAGCTTATTGGTCCTTAGATGTGATGACTGCATTTTTTTCAGGCTTTTTTGTCCTTTATTTTTACCTCATTATCCTACAGACTTCCTGTCCCTCAGTGGCTACACTCAATCCCGCACTGTATTTATGGAGAGAGCTGCTACCCATGTTTGCTTTTGTTTGTCTCTCTTGGAGAATAAACTCTGGAGGATTGGGCGAATTGAAAAACAAAGACAACTATGCTTCCAGTTCATTTCAAAGGAAGTGACAAAGACACTGCCAAAATCAACAACAGGTATTTTCTGTACTTGCTAAACAATTTCTTAGCCTGAAAAAGAATGTGCCACCACATATAAAAACTGATAGGCTGCAATATAACGCATTTATGTCCTTTGTTTTAGTTATCCTTTTGTCTTTTCAATTCTGTGGACAGGTAGGGAAACATTCCACAATAACTTTTTTTAAAATTAAAGAAAAAACATGGCCCCCGAAATCTCAAAAAAAAAAAAAAATCTAATAAAACACAACGGATCTCATCCTACTGCAAAACAGTTAATGAAAACAATTCTCATTTCTACAGTGTTGGTATATTTAATAATAAATAAAATGATAACATGTGTATTTCGAAATGTTCATTGCATAATAAAGTCAAATGCCAAATCTAGCAACAGAATGTAGGTCATGTCTAAACGATTATCTACTGTTTCTAAGTTAATTAAGATAAACAAAAGCAGAACTTTTAATACAGATACTATGATATATTAATACAAAAAGGTTTCCCTGCCTTGCTCCTGTCTACACTTAGGGGTGCTTCTCCACTCTTTTTGTCGAAATTGACTACAATTTTATGGTTTTTTTTAAGGAAATCCTGGTATTACAAGATTTACTGAATGGATAGGTTGTGACAACCATTCATGCTTTTTCTTTCTTTTCATAGTCTTGTACCACCACATTAAAGTGACTCTGTCACTACAGAGTCATAACAAAAGTTAGCATAGCCGGCAAAATAAAATGCTCTATGCTTACCTGTCTGAAAATTTAGGTGTGTTGCTGTTCTATTGATGTTGCAGGTATCTGACACTTCTGTCACTGGTTCATATATTCTGTAGTGATGTACAAGCCAGCAGGAGGAACAGTATTGAATGGTGGAGCGAGCAGATATTTGACACACCCTGAAGTGTCAGACATCTCCAGTCTCACACACAACAGCTATAAATATAGAGCATCTTCTGTTACAGGCTATACTTACTTTTGTTGTGACACTAGATCCATTTTAGCTGATTTTACTTGAAAAAAATTAAAGAGGAACTGAGAGCTGGGATGCAGCAAGAGATCTTTCAAAAGTGTACAAAAAAAAAAACAAGTACAACATTCTTGCACAGATTGGCAAACTTACTCTGAGTTCGCTCTGTTCCACCAATGACAACTAATGCCTGGAATTTGCATGCTCTCCCTGTACCTGTGTGGGTTTCCTCCAGGTAATCCGGTTTCCTCCCACACTCCAAAAACATGCTGGCAGATTTGTTGGCTCCTGCATAAATTGGCCCTAGTATGTGTATGTATCAATGTAAGCTAGGGACCTTAGTTTGTAAGCTTCTTGAGAGCAGGGACTGATGTGAATGTTCAATATATGTAAAGTGCTGTGTAAATTCACAGCGCTATATAAGTACCTGTAATAACACAAAAATAAATAAATACCATACGTTTCCACAGCCACTGGTGCCATTTTCACAGATGGTTCTTCTGCTTGCAGTGTCTTTACCCAGAAGGCAACTAGTAATGATGCTGATTCTATGCAAGTGTGAGGAGTTGCAACATCCCAGGAAATATCTTAATGTAGCCTATACTGCACATATGCTGCAGAAAGTGCTTGCAAAAAATGCTATTAACCGCTTCCCAACCACCCTATAACAGAGATACTGCTTCAGGGTGCACAAAGTCACGTATATATATATGTGATTTTGTATATCCAAATAGGGGGCTTCGCATGCAGACATTGGCGGCTTCAGCTGTTGATCACCGAGTCCCGGGCAATGATTCCCCGCCGGAACCCAGAGATCTCCAAGTACCACTGACGAGGCAGAGGTCTGTATGTAAACAATACAGATCTCTTCCCTGTCAGCTCCAGCACGCTGCTTTGTATTGCTCTGCATAGCAGGATACTTACACAGTAAAGCACAGCACACAGTAAAACACACACATCACACAGTTAACCCTTTGATCACCCAGATGCTAACCCCTTCGTGCCCAGTGTCATTAGTACAGTGTCAGTGCTTTTTATTAGCACTGATCACTGTATTGGTCAGTTCCCCCCCCCCCCCCCAGTGTCAGAATGCCCACCACAGTCCCGCTGTCCAGCTGATCGCCACCATTACTAGTATAAAAAAATAAAAACTCCAGTATATATACTAACATTTGTAGACGCCATGACTTTCAGGTAAACCAATTAATTTACAAGTATTGGGATTTTTTTTAGCAAAGACATGTAGCAGAATAAATTTTGGCCTAAATTTATGACAAAATTAGATTTTTAATTTTTTTTTACTGGATATGTTTTATAGCAAAATGTAAAAAATATAGTTTTTTTTTTCAAAATTGCTGGTATTTTTTTTGTTTATAGCGCATAAAATAAAAACGCACAGGTGATCAAATAACACCAAAAAAAGGTCCATTTGAGGAAAAAAGGACATACATTTAATTTGGGTGCAGCGTTGCATGACCGTACAATTGTTAGTTAAAATAACTCAGCGCCGTATCGCAAAAAATGGCCTGATCAAGAAGGGGGGTAAATCCTCCGGAGGGCAGTTGAGACATACAAAGGCTCATCTACCGATAAACAAGCCTGTCTAGGAATTGTTTTCAGTGTTTAGCTTAAAAAAAAACTTTCTCACTTAATATAAAATTAAATTTTTAATTTCCTGCGCTCCTACTCTAGTACTACTCCTACTCCAGTGCTCCTACTCCTGCACTCCTACTCCAGTACTACTCCTACTCCAGTGCTCCTACTCCAGTGCTCCTACTCCAGTACTACTCCTACTCCAGTGCTCCTACTCCAGTGCTCCTACTCCAGTACTATTCCTACTCCAGTGCTCCTACTCCAGTACTACTCCTACTCCCTACTCCAGTGCTTCTACTCCAGTACAGCAGTATCTATGTTGGCATAGACGAGTAACAATCTGTCTGACCAGGTCTGTCAAATTACAATTAAGTGCACTGAGCCAAGTGGTCAGAATCAGGTGCCTATTTGATGTCACAATCCTACTAATGTATACTTTGCAAATGCTACATCAGGAAAGTAGAGGTAAGAAAGAAAATTGAGCTTTCTAATATTATGTGCTTAAAGTATATGTAAACCCTCTCCTTGTAAAACAACCCATACAGTTTAAATTATAAATAAAAGGTAAAAAATTTGTTGTATAGATATCAAACATTATAAATACTTTTCCCCTCTTTTTTATAATTGACCTCATATTCTCTGTTCTCAGCTGCATAAGGAGCTCAAAGAGCTAGGGGAGGAGAAACAGCAGTATACTGCTTTATAGGGGAGGCGTGTCAGCACAAGTTTGATCATTGGAGGAAAGCACATCAAGTTCCCAGCACAGCTAGAGAACTGACCATGCTGTGCTCTCATGCCTAGTGTGGTCAGTTTTTAAATAGGAAAGTAGGGGACTGACAGGAACACCAGGGATTTCACACAAAGGAAGCAATACAAAGAGAACAGGATACTTTTTCATACAAGTACATGGTACAGTAGAAACATATCAGGAATATGAAATGTTGGGTTTACATATTCTGAGGCTGAAAAGCACAGTAAGAATCTATTTGATGAAAAATAGATTATAGGGCCATTCAGTAGTGGATGTGTATGGATTATTTTTGGAGAATTAGTATATAATTTATCGTCACTTTAATACCTGACTGAATATCTATTGCTAGGACTTCTAAGCAACAAAAGAAATGTTTCCTGTAAAAAATTACTATCGGTAATTTCATTAACAATACAGTATTTAGCAAGGGATAATGTGGATTATAAAAACTAACATTTATGACAGAAGCAAAAATTATTAAATACACATGTGAGATCAAACACACAAAAAAACCTTCATATAAAATAGCAAAGTGGCACATAAGAAAAAATTTGTAATTACGCTATAACAAAACACTTAAACAAATATCATACATAACTTCATTTTGAATAATTATCTATATACACACACATGCATATAAATATACATCAAGCAGCCTTAACTTTATGACCACTAACAGTTTAAGTAAGTAACTTTCATTATCTCATAGGCAGGACATAGGCAGCAAGTAAACATGTCTCTAAAGCTAATGTGTTGAAAGGAGAAAAATGGGCACAACAGTTTGTTGTATATGGGGCTGCGTAGCCACAGGCCAATCAGAGTGTCCATGCTGACCTGTGTCCACAGCCAAAAGTGCTTGCGATGGGAAGGTAAGCATCAGCCATGGACTACAGAACAATAGAAGAAGGTGGCCTGGTCTGATGACTTTTGTTTTCTTTTACATCAAGTCTATGGCTGAGTGCGAGTGTGTCGCTTACCAGAGGAAGAAATGGCACCAGGATGCAGTGTGAGAAGAAGTGAAGTCAGCAGAGACACTGTGATGCTTTGGACAATGTTCTGTTAGGAAACTTTGGTACCCCCATTCATGTGATGTTACGGATTTTACCTGACAAATACCACCCACCTAAACGTTGTTGCTGACCAAGTGCACCTCGTTCATAGAAACAGTATTCCCTAGTGCCATTGGCCTCTTTCAGCAGGATAATGCATCTTGCCACACTGCAAATGGTTCAAGAATGCTTTGAGGAACGCAACAATGAGTTTCAGGCGTTGACTTGGCCTCCAAATACTCCAGATCTCATTCCAATCAAGAACCTGTGGAATGTGCTGGAAAAACACATATGATTCATGGAGGCCCTACCTAGCAAATTATAGGACTTAAAGGATCTGTTACTGATGTCTTGGCGCCAGATACCACAGCATACCTTCAGATGTCTAGTGGCATCCATGCCTTGACGGGTCAGGGCTGTTTTAGCAACAAAAGTAGACCTACTTATATTAGGTAGATGGTCATAAAGTTATGGCTGATGGCCGTATGTAGCTCTATTACTAAAAAATAATCTGGAAATAATGAGGATACACTTACTGCTATTGTATAATTTTTTCACATATGACTTGAATCTTTTTTTGTTTTATGACCCATTATGTTAATGATCCACACTGTTTCTTGGCTGACGATCTCTATCATAAATAATGTGTTGGAAAAGGAGGGTCTGTGTACAGCACAGCTTTAGTTGTTTGAAAGCTATAACTAAGAAATGTGGATATTTGGTTCAAAATGTGTCCAGCTGGTCTACTTTTAACTCCAATGTATGATCTGTCTATCCAATGAATTTTCCAGAGTAACAGTTGAGGTGCTGTTGCAGGTATTCTACATTTTGATAAGCAAAGTTCTATCCTATGCCAATATCAAGAAAGCACCAGTACAGGGGTTGAGGGATGCAGTGCTTCAGCTTTATGTTCACAACAGGCAGGGAGAAGACCCACTTCTTGATTTTAACTGCTGAAAATTTGCACTGATGCTTTTGTGGAGGGTGAGGTACTCAGCACATGGATAATTAACTTAGCCTGGAAAACTCAGTTTGTGAACACAACAAATATAGATTGCAACTGTTAAACTTTAGTAAAATGACTGAAGCCTAAAATAAGTTAAGAACATACCATCTCCATCAATGTCCACAGCACAGGCATCTCCTTCTCCATTATTGTCAGTATCAATTTGGGCAGGATTGTGCACATAGGGGCAGTTGTCACAGCGATCTCCTACTTCATCTTTGTCATAGTCAAATTGACGTGGGTTGAACAGCAGAGGGCAATTATCCTGAAACATAAAAATCAAGCTTTTCATTGAACTATATTAATCCTGAGAACCCATTGTTTAACTACATATCACTTGTAATTCTTAGTATGGCTACCCTGTATCATTGTGAAATTGTGTGTCTTTCCTTAACCGTCTTGCTAGCCTATAACTGCCTGCCTCTTAGCCACCACTTAAAATAAATGGTTATATTAACTTCAAAGACAGGTGGCTTTGACTTAAAAATATATGTTTAGCTAACACTTCTTTTTGTTTTGGATAGAGTGGGGAAGGGTTTGTGCACCATTGGGAAAATTTCCTTAACCTCCTATCTCACATACATAACAGCAAGTAAGAGGAAATCCCTCTTAGACAGCTGTCTTCAGAAAAAGTGTGTCCATTGGAAATATCCCCACTTAACTCCTATTCTGGGGACAGCTCTAAAATTTTAGATTTCCCTAACTTTTTTTCTTGGTGACAATGGTAACTAGTACAATTATGTAACACATGACAACTAATGTATATAATAATGAACGTGCATAAGGTAAACCATGTGACAAAAATGCAAACCATAAAAATATGCTTGGTATAAGGTTACAGTAACCATCTGATAGCAGGGTGAACCCATCTTACTATGTCACATCGCTGATCTCAGTATGAGTCCAGGTTTTGCCCGTCCCAGTGGAATTCTGGAGGGGTCTTCAGGGTCTGACAGCCATAGAAATGGACCACAGCCCTGGACCTCTAGAGAACCCTGAGACTAACTACAAACTACAAGTGTTGAGGTGAGTGCCTAAGCAGGATTCGGTGCCCAAAGCAACATTACAGGTTGTATGTGTGGGATCCAGGTACAGTTCGAAAGGTATTATTGAGGCTATCTTCATCTGGATGCACTGCAGTGAAGAGATGATTGAAGAATTTGAAGTAAATAAGAACTACTTAAAGCAGAACTCTGGGCAAAAATTTTACTTTATCATGCATGGGTCAACTGCTCATTATTTCTAGGGATGAGCACAAAGCTCATACTCACCTGAGCTGTCGATCCTTCGGAAACCTTTGCTACCCCAGTCCAGCGGTGGACTGTTCCTGTCTATGTAGCATGCTTTGAGTGTACTGACGTCAGGAACAGTCCATTTACAAGACCACTGGTCTGTGGGGGGGCAGGAGCTGAAGGGACCAGTCTTGTGAGGGGAGGATCAGTGTGTCAGGTAAGTATACAGTATCTCCACTATCCTCTCCCCTAAAACAAAACAAGCAGTTAACCTGTGCAGTGTGGGAACAGCCCCACTGCAAAGGCAACAAGAATTTGGAGAGGAGGCATCTGAAGAAGACCTCCCAGACCTACTGGCCAGGAAGGAAACTGTTGTAGAACCAAATTCCATGGATTGGGAATGAGCCTTTGCTCTTGGAATAAGGTACATATTTGCCAGCACACCACAAATCACCGACATTGTCCGATGAAGCTTTTGTATTGAAAAATAATCACATCACAAAGAGAAAGGTGCAAAGTTCCAGAGCCATGCAGGACCCCTTCATCAGGTAACCTGAGAGGTTCTGAAATGTTTCACCTTTCCTTTGTAATGTAATCATATTTCAATATAAAAAGCTTCTTCATACGACTTTGGTGATCTGTGTTGTGCTGGCAAAAATGTACGCTGATCTGTGATGGTTTCAGTTTCCTGCTGGATGCTGCTGCAGCACCAGCTATGCCTGACCCAGGAACCTGTGCAATGGGAATAGTAACAATATCTTGCTCTACAGGAATATCTCAGACACCATGCACTCAAACTTCATGCTCTACACTCATCTCAAATTCGCCAATCCCTTTTTGATGGTTTAGCTTTGAGATGCCCTTAAAATGTATCAAAAGCCTTTCAACTAAAGATGTATTTGTATTTCTGATGCTCTGGCATATAGTAAAATGTATGTATTACCTGTAAGTTTTAAGGCTTAGTATTTGATGTCAATTGTAAGTTTCTCCTGCTGACATCCCATGAAGGGCAGAAGGGCAATTAATGTGTTTTTTTTTTTTTTGCAGGCTAGCTGCTAAGTATGCTGGTAAATGTTTGGCTGTTTGTGATGTGTGTGATACTTATGTGTAAGCTTCTTTCGGTTAGAACATCGAAACCCCAATCTCTCAATCACAGCAATGTTGCATCTACAGACCATGTTGTAGGTGTTAGTGAATAGGCAAACGTTTGTCAGTGTGTTTTCCTGACTCTCTTCCATGAACCAGTGCCTGTATTATCCCATTGCAGCCTGACATCTTGGCAGAGGCTAATAGTTTTACAGAAAATAAAGCCAGTACAAGGTAAAGAATTACCACAAGGATGACATGTTCATAAATAACACTAATCCAGCTGTATTATATAGTATTCCCTAGATATCTCCAGTTCAATTTTAAAGCAATCTTATGAATTCATATTATGTTGATGCATTCAACTTTAACTAACTTTACTACAAACAATAAATTCCTTCAGATTTTTTTTTTTAACTGCAATGTTTGAATGTGCCTGTTTCTGCCAAAAAAAGTTTGATATCCTGATGGGAAACGCAAACCCTGCACAGCATTTCTAACACACACACACATACACATTTTTATTACACAGTATGAAAAATTTCTGAACACCTCCTTTAGATAATGAACACACTGTAATTACAGTTCTATAAATACAAGAGGAAATGATGCTGTTAGGGATCCGGGTGTGACCAGAAATGTGTGGGAACACAGGCATAGTCAGGGCTGGAGAGGTGGAATGGTCAGGCGGGCCGTAAGGTATCGTCAGGCACCGCCCGGCGGGATCTCTAGTGACCCACAGAACAGGATTCCCCAGGGCGCGGAGTCTAAGCCCCAGTCTGCCTTTTCACCAGAGCCCCTGATGGTGGGGATGGACTTGGCGCAGGACTGAGACCAGGTCGTGGCCCCTGAGTGCACCCAACTGTGGTAGAGGGGTCCGCCGAGGGTATGTACCGGGGGAAAGCCTGATGTGAAGGGGCTGGCACTTTTGGACAGTAGTGACTGGATCCGTGCGGGATGGATGGATCATCTGGGTAACGTCAGGTGTAGTCAGGCAGGCCAGGTCAGCAACGTACGGGCAGTGAGGTACCGGAGGAGCAGGCAGAGAATAGTCAGGGTCACAAGCTGGGTTTAGTAACTCACGGGCAGCGCGGTACAGTGGATCAGGCAGAAGGATGGTCAGGCAAGCCAGGGGTTCAACAGGAGACGGTCAGCAGAGGTCAGGATCAAAGCAGGGTCAGCAACTAGGCAGATAGGCAGGAACACAGGATACCAGGTACAGGGGCTCATGGGAAACATACACCAAACCCCTGATCACAGGTGTGGTCATTCCTTAAATACACCTCCTGCAATCAGCCCCAGGTGTTGGCTGACTACAGGAGTGAGCTTCTGGCTGCTGAGAGCACCCACTGGTCAGCCCTGGTACTGCAGCCCACACGGCAGGTGAGTCCCACCACCAGTGCTGAGTCCATTCCTGACAGATGCTAACAGTGCTAGACCCCAAGTGGTTAATAACTTTGCACATTTTTTTTTGCTGCACCACTAATATTAGCTTATGTAAGCCATTTTAAAAAATGTGGAAGACCATCTACCTTACACCCTACACCCATCTACCTTAGCTGTGTGGTTGTGAGACTTTCAACAGCCTAGTCTTTCTCATTGATTCAAGTGTTTGCAATATTTGTAAGATAAGTGAAAACATTAGTGCTTAGACATGGATTACACTCTTGGGTGAACAGCAGTTTTTACTGAAACTTGTATCACCATTTAAAAATGTCCTTCACCATGACAATTAATAAGGGCTGATCTTCTCAGTGGTCAAGGGCAGCGTTAACATGTATCAGAAGTTCTAAATGTTCCCTGCTTTACCCAAAACTACAAAAATTTCTACTTTAATAAATAATCTGCATTTGATAAAAATAAACTAAAACACTGAACAGATCGCTAAATCTAAATGTGCTCCTGCTTCCTATTTAAATCACAATCTTTACACACAAATTAGCACAGAGTAATTGAGATAAACAATGATTGCACAACAATGCAGTTTGGATATGCACTCAACCTCATGTTTGCCACCTCAGGCATGCTATATTAAATGATAGTGGACATTCTTATAATTTTTGTATGCTATATGAGCGTGACATGAGAGAAAACAGGAAAAGATAAGGTTTATGTTGGAGCTTGCAAGTAATGTGAATGTTAAACTTAAATATCTCAAAAATGTTGAATAAGGCAGATCAATTTATATTTGTCTCAGCAAACTTGCAAATCTTTGCATAATTTTTTTGCTCTTCAAGAACCATTTTAGGGCTTTCTAAATAAAATGCATGGTTTTGAAAATGATAACTGATAACTAACAACTGAATTGCCAAAACTTATGTTACTTGTGCCAGGTTGGAAACAAATCACATATTCATTTCAAATATAATAGATATAAAAAGGATATCAAACTGATGAGAAAATAAGGAAGCTGTGCTTGAAAATAATTAGAACAATTTAACATGGGATGGACAAGAACCATGAATGATGGACTACTTCTGTTACATATCGATACATTCCCAGTTAGTACAAAATCCTTGTAATATTACAGAATATTATTGAATTGAAAGTGTATCTAAAGCCAAAACAGTTTTTTTGTAATTGAACAGAGTAGAAAAATCCTTCTCAGTTGTCCTGGGAACCAGTGTCCCTGTTTGAAGATTTGTCATTTAGTACTATTCTGCAACTTTTGAATTTTCCCCTCACTGTGAGTCCCAATGGTAGTGGTCACTAGAACAAAAAGAGAGGGTGAATCCTCCTAGTAGGGACACAAACAATCAGAAAATCTGTTTCTAATCCCTTACCACTCTACTGAAAAATATAAACAAAAAAAGTTTTGAGT